AATCTTAACTCGCTCCTACCTATCTAGCTCAAGAGAGTAGATAAATGAAGGTTTTGGGTTGTTTTGTAATGCTAAGCTTGTCGAGGTTCGAGAGAACTCGCCTGAACAGTAATAGTTGTTCGAGAAAAAACTATTGCACCTATAGTCTAGCCTACGTACAGCGATTCAAAAAATTATTAATAAACTTCAATTACCCATATAGCATAATTAGCCTATAATCGATCACATCCCGATAATTCCTCTTAATATTGTTGAAACGCCCTGTTTTCATAATTGTTTCAATTGATTATTGGCAAACCAATCCCTCTCATCTGACATTTGTTGTCACCCCTTTCAATTTAACTAAATTTTTACGATAATTTCTATTCCTACCACCAATTAGATTACATTTGTAACTTTGTAACTGAATTTGAACTTGTACTGCTCCATGTGGGTTTGACCCCAACCTTTCGTTGGATTTTATACTAGATTACAATCGCCCACACCTAGAATTGGATGAGGTGTGGTTGAGGTTCATCAGTGTGCCATGTAATGAAAAGTATTAATTAATTATCTTAAACGGTAGTCCATTAAATAAGTGGCTAAAATTGGACTCAAAGGTGGATGGGGAGAGTATTTGGGAGCCAATAGGTGGATAGGGGTGTTGTGTACCATTTTCAATACTTCGAGGGTATTTTAGGTCCTTTTCTGTTGAAAATTTTAAAAAATCCCTACTTTACGCGATGTATTAGTCGGATACATCACTTTACGCAATGTATTGGTTGAATACATCACTTTACGATACATCAAGACGTACGTGATGTACTAGACGTTGAGAAATGTATCCGAAAGTGAGATACAATGTATCAAGATGTTTTGGAATGTATCCGAATTCCACCAAATTTAAGGTATTTTTGTAATTTAAAAAAAAATAGTGATAAGATGATTGCACTATGAGATTTGTGTAAAATCTAGTACGAATAAAAGGGTTGACTCCATTATTGTCTTGTTTCTATTTATGGCAGTCATCCGACAAATAGACTCCCATCTCAAAATAAAAATATAGTTAGTTGTCCATTAAAGGGTTTCTCGGGCTTTGTGCTACATGTGAAAATTCAACCACATTCTATTAAAATGGATCAAGAACTATTATGTATTGTTTATTATTGTTTCCCTTATTTTTTCAAACCCCTTGAGAAAATAAACTAAGAAACCTTTTTACACATTCATGATTCACATTTTAGACCAAAAAGGAGGGGTTTTTTTAATCTTCCATTTCTCACATGGCAAAAATATATGTACAAAAGGCCTATTGCAAACACTAATTTAGGGGGTGTGCCAATAGTAAGTAATATTCAATGTTGAAAGGGTCTCAATTGAATCCCTTTCTTTAAAAACTATTCATTATAATTATAAAAGTATTTGTATATTTATTAATTGTTGAAGGGAAACTTGATCAGAGATCTTCTTTGTATGTGGTTAGGGAATTGGAAGAAAAATGGCGAAGGAAGAAAATAAGTACCAAAAGTCGAGGTCTTTCAATTTTAGGAAGATACTTGAGTTTTCAAGTAGATTGGCACATAGAATTGGAGATCGGAGATTAGTAGTGATGACGATGATACCTACTCAATTATCTTTCAAGATCTTGTAAGCTCAAGTAAAGACCTTTGAAACTAAGACCGCAAAGAGAAGGTCGGTAAAAGACTTAGAAAGCTTTTGGAAGAAGGCTTTGTATTGCTTGTGGAATGCTTACACTTTGTTAAATAATTTACAAATGAGAGGCCCTCTGTTTATACTACTTCTTAGGGGCCTAAGTATAAATAATATTTACTTTGCAAGTCCCTACAATATTTACACTTTAGTCCTATTCTAGAATTCTTTACATGTTCTAGGAAATTCTAAAGCTTTCTAAGATATTTTCTAAGGCATTATAGAGTCTTCAAAGGAAAGATCTAGGGAATTCTATAATCTTCCATTAACCTCTCTCAATAACTCTAGATTCTTCCTCCTTATTTTTATGCCAAATTTGAAGGGCAAAGTGGCGGGTCATGATATAAGGGTCTAAAGCACATCAAAGGGGATGAAAACTGAAGTCCAAATAACTAAGTCATATATGAGGAAACCCTACCTTGTATCTCGTATGAGTGGGGTGTTAAGTTATAGGAGAACCCATGACAGATTTCACCTATGTGAGTATGAAAGTAGGCCGCTTTCTATGAGAATGAGTTTATTCTCAAAAAACACTTATGAAAATTGAGATAGCACAAGATTGTAATGTGTTGGCTATTAAAGCTTATGTCAACACCTTGATTGTTTTATGTAAGAAATGATACTTTATTTTCCTTAAGCAGTCATAGTTAAAGTCTGAGACCATTACTGACTCTGAGTAAAGGTTATTGTTTTACTAAGTGAAGGTTCAATATAGAGCACACCTTCATTATGCATAATAGTCTACCTTCAACTAAATTGGTGAATTCTCTTATTTTAATATTAAAATGAGTGGAGAAATATTGGTATATATGCATTTCATTATTATGAATCATGGTTGACAGATGACGTGGAAGTTTTCAAATCCAATTGAAATAACCACAAGAATTTGACCCAAGACGACGACATTTGTAGAATCGACTCCAGTTTTAAGAGTTGTAGCTAGGGGTGTACATAGGTCGGTTTGGTTTGGTTTTTCATTAAAAAAAAAACCTAAACCAATTATGTCAGTTTATTAAATATAAAAACAAAATCAAACCACACAAAGTTGATTTTTTCGGTTTTGGTTTTAGTCGGTTCTTTCGGGTTTTTTGGTTTTTTCGATATTTTACAACTATACGGTGTTTGAAAAAAAGATCAAATATATTTTCACTTACTTGTGTGATAAGCTAAACATAAGAAATGTTAAATGAATAGAAATTTTCGTAAAGACGGTAAAATTCACATGAGTATAAAATATTATTTTTTTAAAATATCAACGTTCATTATGTTAAATTAATAAAATTAAAGGATACAGTCAAACTGAATACAAAACGAAATATTTACAAAGTAAATTGTTAACTTCGAATTTGAAAAATTATAACAATATAATTGTTTCGATCTTAATACAAAAAAAAATATTTACAAATTTTACAAGCCCAAATTTGAAATAAAATACAGAAACATTGAAAAGTATAAACTAACTAAAAATATATTAACAAAGTAGATTATAAATAATATTTTTTATCTATAAATAAAATAAAATTATATATATATATATAATATTTACAAAATTTTACAAGCTCAAATTTAAAATAAAATATATAAACATTGAAAACTATAAACTAACTAAAAATATAATAACAAAGTAGATTATAAATAATATTTTTTATCTATAAATAAAATAAAATTATATATATATATATATATTATGTTGGTTTGGTTTGAGTTCGGTTTGACTTTTTTCCTTTTAATACCAAGCCAAACCAAGAATGGTCATTTTTTTTTCAACCGCCAAATCACAAATCAGTTTTTTTTTCGGTTTGATTTAGTTCGTCGGTTCGGTTTGACTTTACGGTTTGACTTGTACACCCCTAATTGTAGCAATAAAATCTCTTGCCATAAATCCGCACTTACATCTACAGGATTGAAGTTCTTCAGGAGAAGAAATCGAAGAAGATGCTGACAATTTTAACAAATCGAAGAAGATGAACATTGATCTTCTAAATAGGAAGACAATTGAAATAAAATTGGGGAAATGAAGTGTATATTGGGAACGAAGGGTTTAGGGTTGTTTTTATTAGATGGTTCTTTTTGTATTGGGGATGGTGGGTTTAGTAAGTATTGGGGCGGGTTTAGTAAGTATTGGGGCGGGTTTAGTTCCAAATAGGTGGATAATGGGTGAGTTTAAAATTATATTAAATAATTAAATTGCAACCAATGGTTGAGCGCCATGTAATTAAAATAATTATTTAGTTATTTTAAATGGTAGTCCATTAAAGAAGTAGCTAAAATTGGACCCAAAGGTGGATGGGAAGGGTATTTGGGAGCCAATAGGTGGATGGGGGTAGTTGTGTACCATTTCCAATACTTCGAGGGTATTTTTGGCTCTTTTTCGTTGAAAGATTTACAAAAATCCCTACTTTACGCGATGTATTAGTCGGATACATCACCTTACGCGATGTATCGGTTGAATACATCACTTCACGATATATCGAGGCGTATTTGGGAGCCAATAGGTGGATGGGGTAGTTGTGTACCATTTCCAATACTTCGAGGGTATTTTTGGCTCTTTTTCATTGAAAGATTTACAAAAATCCCTACTTTACGCGATGTATTAGTCGGATACATCACTTTACGCGATGTATCGGTTGAATACATCACTTCACGATATATCGAGGCGTATGTGATGTATCAGGATGTTGAGAAATGTATCCGAAACCGAGATGTAATGTATCAGGACGTTTTGGGATGTATCTGGATTCCACCAAATTTAAGGAATTTTTGTAATTTGAAAAAAAAAAATAGTAATAACACTATGAAATTTGTGTAAAATCTAATACAAGTAAAAGGGTTGACTCCAATGTTGTCTTGTTTCTATTTATGGCAGTCACCCGACAAATAGACTCCCATCTCAAAATAAAATATAGTTAGTTGTGGATTGTAGGGTTTCCCAGGCTTTGTGCTGCATGTGAAAAATCAACCACATTCTATTAAAACAAACCAAGAACTATTATGTGTTGTTTATTATTGTTTCCCTTATTTTCTCAAACCCCTTGAGAAAATTCAGGAGAATAAGAAACCTTTTACACATTCATGATTCTCATATTAGGGAAGGTTTTCTTAATTTTCCATTTCTCACCTTCTTTGAGGGCAAAAACATATTAATATTCAATGTTGAAAGGGTCTGAATTGAATCCCTTTGTTAAAAAATCATACATTATAAATAGGGATTTATATATTTATGAATTGTTGAAGGGAAACTTGTAGAAAGTATTATTACATCAAAGAGGACAGATCATTTATTATTTCGTGATTAGATCTGGTAATTAGGGAATTGAAACAAAAATGGTGAAGGAAGAAAATAAGTATCAGAAGTCGAGGTCTTTCAATTTTAGGAAGATACTTGAGCTTCCAAGTAAATTGGCACATAGCATTGGAGGGGAGAGTAGTAGTGATGACGAAGAGGAGATCGGAGGAGGAGGAGGAGGAATAATACCTTTACAAAATCAACAGATAGATAGTACTGCTTTTGATCCATCACTTGTTTCAACCTTGACGACCAAGGTACCAAAAGCCAAACCTTCAGGTAATTCGTTCTTCACATTATTATCTATATTGATACACAACATGCATGCTTGAACTTGATGCAAATACATTTATCCAGACATGGAGTTGATGAAAGAAAGGTTTTCAAAGATGCTTTTAGGAGAGGATATGTCAGGAGGAGGCAAAGGTGTTTCATCAGCTCTCGCTTTATCAAATGCCATTACCAATCTAGCTGGTAATATAATATAATATAATATAATCGAAAACACACACAACTACTTTCTAACTCTTGATTCCAACATATGTTATTATAGCTTCTATTTTTGGAGAACAATCAAAATTGGAGCCCATGTCTCAAAAGAGAAAAGAGAGATGGAGAAAAGAAATCGACTGGCTTTTATCTGTGACAGATTACATTGTTGAGTTTGTCCCTGGACAACAAAAATCAAAAGATGGAACAAACATGGAGGTATGTATTTCACCATCTTAATTTTCAACATTCAAAGACTGAAATAACAATAAGCTGTTTTGACAGATAATGATTACTCAACAAAGAAAAGATCTGCTCATGAACATCCCTGCTCTAAAGAAGCTCGATGCAATGCTCATTGTGAGAACATCCCTACCCTATAGTGTTATTTAAATAAATGAATCAGGATCAACTCTAATTCTACATAAATATATGAATCAGGATTGCTTAGATAATTTCAAAGACGCAAAAGAATTTTGGTATATCTCAAAAGATGCTGATGATTCTGAAAAAGGTGTCCAGAGAAGTGATAAGTGGTGGCTACCTACCATCAAGGTTCCACCCGAGGGCCTCTCAGATGAATCGAGAAGATGGCTACAATATCAGAAGGATTGTGTGAACCAAGTACTCAAAGCATCTATGGCGATTAATGCCCAAATACTAGCAGAAATGGAAGTCCCTGAAAACTACATCGACTCTCTCCCCAAGGTGAGAAGCATTCATTCACTCATTGAAGAGGGAAGAGACATTTTAATATACTATCTGAGACTTTTTTTTTTTTTGGTTTTTGTAGAATGGTAGATCAAGTCTTGGTGATTCAATCTACAAGAACATCACGGTTGAGTTTTTTGATCCAGAACAATTCCTTTCAACAATGGACATGTCATCGGAACACAAAGTTGTTAACTTGAAAGACAGAATTGAAGCATCTATTGTGATTTGGAAGAGAAAGATGCACCAAAAAGATGCAAAATCTTCGTGGGTTCCAGCTGTGAGTTTGGAGAAGAGGGAGCTGTTTGAAGAGAGAGCAGAGACTATCTTACTCTTGATAAAACACAGATTTCCTGAAATCCCTCAATCTTCCCTTGAGATAAGTAAAATTCAATATAACAGAGTAAGTAGTAGTAGTAGTAGTAGTAGTAGTATCATACTCATTATGATAAATATTGATTGAACATGTTATCAAGTGTGTGTTCCTTCACCTTTCTGACTATAGGATGTGGGACATTCTGTTCTAGAGAGCTATTCAAGAGTACTAGAGAGTCTAGCCAACACAGTCACATCACGCATCGAGGATGTCCTATACGCAGATTCTGTCGCACAAGATCCATCACTTGCAATAGCAAAGTGGAACCGTTCAGCTGATTCATCACCTCAAAAACCACAAAGTGTTGTGTCCACTCCTAAACAAGAGTCGGATTGTACAGCAGAAACACCTACCTCAATGACTTTATTTGACTTCATGGGCTGGAATATGGAACAAGGAGAGGCAGACATAAATAAGACTAACTTGGAGGCTCTTCCCCAAACATGAGAAAAAACCATAAACACAAGAAGAAAGAGATCCATTTTTGGACAAAACGCTTCATGTTCATCTTGTAAATCAGCATAACTCACTTCATAGTTTTAAGTAGAAATCATTCACAATAGCGAGCAACCTAGGATTATTTTATTTTTTTCCAAGTATGTGATGATACTTGTTGATGTCCAATATTTCTAATTCATCAATCAACCAACATGTGCGAGAAAATAAGAATTCATAACATTTCGCCTTAGCAGAAGACCTCATCAAATTCCTTTAGAATGAAATTTCCAAATATATATTATGTCTACATAGACACATTCGTCTTATTTAAGATCAAAGGATAAGGAGGCGATCATGGAAAGTAGATTCAATATTAATAAAACTGCTCTTGAATGCAACTAATCTAGGCCGCCCTAGTAACAGCAGCATGCATGGCATCAGCAAGATGAGGAACTGTCCGAGAACTAAGACCTGCCATGCTAATTCTCCTGCAAATGAGAAAGGAGACGATGATTCCTCTTTTAAAAATTTCAAGGAGAAAAATGTCACTAGTAATGAGCATCTTTTTTAACCAATTCCAACTTCAACAAAGATATTTCAAACTCATACCAGAGAAGTGAATATGACATGGATTGAATGTAATGCTTTTAGAAAAACGGTGTAATTAGGAACGAGGGGAAGAAAAACAGTAGCAGCAATCTCTTCGGTAAAGTTAAGTACTGATATGGATGACAGAGCTGAACTTTCTTATACTTATTTTCCAAACTGAAACTTTCAGTTCGAAATTTCTCCTTTCTAAACAATTCAAGCAGAAACAATCAACAATAAGCACTTCTAAGTTCGAAGTCATTAAGTTTCTATTGACAAAAGAGTGATCCACCGTAACAAACTAAAGAATGAAACCACTATCAACAGTCGGGTGTCCTTACCCATCAGATGTCATGTAAATGTGATACTCTCTAGTCATGAACGAGACTTGCTCAACATTCAATCCTGTGAACGTAAACATCCCAATTTGCTTGATGATATGACTCCAATCACCTGGAGTACCTGCAAAACAGAATTAAACTTGCATTAATACTAAACGGAACAATTACATGTGTTTTCTCCAGAAAAAGTTCTCATAGCAGTACCAGTCACACCAATCAGACAGACACAGCAAGCCTCACTAGAAAGAACAAATCAGAAAATCAGATACCTCGAGCTTGCATGGCATCATAGAGTTGCTGGCGCATGCTAATAATTCGCTCGGCCATTGCTTTCAGCTCAACTGTCCATTCGTCATACATTTGTCTATTACCAATGGATAACAACGGCGTCAAAATGTAGAAGCTATATACTATCTACTGACGAGCAAAAAGAATATTGTAATAGCTGCACAAACCTGTCCTTGAGTATAGTGGCAACACTAGATGCACCATGAATCGGTGGATTTGAGTACATTGGCCTTATAACCATCTTTAGCTGGCTTTCGACTTTGCTTGCAACATTGCTATCTTTGCAAACCTACAACAAAAAATTATATTAGTCTTGTTCAGCTTTTACTGTCTATAGCTAAATCGCAAAGAGAATGACCGTTTTTCCTAAACATATTATCCTTTACCAACCATTTCCACTCTGTCCAATTACAATCTAAGTGGACACGGAGGCCCTCAAAAAAAGCAATAGGGCAGAAAGAAGGAAGGACGAAAACATCATGGCCACAAGCAAAAAAAGAGAGAGGATAACCAAAATCACAGAATTGTATTGAGGCCGCAACACCAAGTAAACAAGTGCACATCTACCAAATAAAGCAGCCTTCAAATATTTTAAATCTGGCTGTGAATCTTTAGAGACTGTGTTCATTGTGCTGCAGAACTTTAAGCTTTTCAGGGAATACAACTTGAATAGTGTATTTAAAGAAAAACAGTATCTTTAAGACATAAATAGTATGATAATTCTTCAGCCCCCAATTGTATCACTTAATAAAAAGGGAAAGTAACTAAACTGACAAAGGACTCACAATGCTAAGGGCACCGACACGCTCTCCATACAGTCCCATGTTTTTGGCATAACTCTGAGCTGCAAGACATTCACCACCATCAGCCACAAACATGCGAACAGATTGTGCATCTGCATCTAGGTTCCCACTGGCAAAACCCTGCAATATCAAGAAAATATGTAATACAGTAGGGTCAGTTGAGCAGCCCATTAGTACATAGATTGTGGGATTCAAAATATTTAGCAATCATTCTAAACGAAGTATCACTTGAATGTTAAATTCCCATCTTAAGCTTAACCTGATAAGCACTGTCAAAGAAAGGTAACAACCCCTTGGACCTCATCAACTTCCTGATTTTTTCCCACTGGTCAATTGTTGGATCAACACCAGTTGGGTTATGAGCACAAGCATGGAGAAGAACTATTGCACCAGAGGGTGCAGCCGTAAGATCATCCAATAATCCTGCAGGGGTCATAATAAACCCACCTTTTAAGTATACTCAACACCAAAAGCAGGGGAAGCCACAGATAAGGTGATTATATCTATAGCAAAGAAAAGCAAAATTAAATAAATAAAAATCTTGTTATAGGTACACATAAAATATAGATCTATCCAAACATGACAAGGAGCTAGTCAACTAGTGTATAAAAAGAGTGAGTTCTTTTTCTTTTTTCTCTTTAGAGTCTGTTCTTATTTACAAGAGTACTTAAGAACATTGGCAACAGTGGTACCTTGAAAATCCAGGCCTCGTGTTGCTGGGTCATAGTAACGATAATATTTTACTGAAAGCCCAGCTAAAGTGAAAATCTTAGGATGGTTTCCCCATGTTGGCTGTGGTATATATATAGTATGCTGGAAACAAGACAAATGGTAGAATGTTCATTCAAGTGTCATTTTGATTCAGACATATAAAGGGAAAGAGTGTAAGGAATACATACTTCATGATAATGCCTGGCGAGAAACTCAGAACCAACCCTCAAAGAACCAGTGCCCGACAAGCACTGAACAGTGGTCACCCTATTCTCTTTAATGGCAGGGCTGTATCAGCAACAGAACAAATACATAAGCATAGATACATTTAAAAATATCTGTTGATGTCCTAACAAGTAAATTAATAACTCATAACTCAACTTAACAAGGAGTAATCGTGATAAAAGAAACAGAATTCTTGATATCACATTCACCATGCACAGATAATCAGTTCAAAACAAAGAGGAGGGAAAAATAAGTCTAGAACAATTTTCTTATGATGCAAGGCCGTGATAATAAGATGAAATGCCAAATAAAGGTCATCAGTTCTCATCAAAATATCAAGCAAGACTGAAGGAAGAACTTTGAAGGTTCAGCAGCATTTCATTCCTCTTTAAAGAGATAATTGGTTCAGCTAGACAGGTCTAAATGGAATGGACATGGACAGTGATAATTCAGTAGCTAGCTTGGCATTGAAGCGTAGTTGTTGTTGTTGATAAGTGGTTCAGCAGCCTTTTACTATCAATAAGAAAAGGATGTACGCACAACATGTATAGATTATTATGCAAAGGAAATGGTGCTCAAGAAGATACTACCATAGTTTTCACCTTCCAAAATGCAAACGTGAAAAAGACATTAACTTACAGAATAAAAGTGATAAAAACAGATATGGATTTAGTCTCTCGTACTAGAAAATGCACCCATTTAAACTCAAGCAATATTTAGAAAGAGCGAAAAATCTTCAAACCTGTCAGCACCAAATATAAGCTTGGCACTCAATTTGTTAAAATCCGCAAGTCCAGTAATTGAGAGATATTCCTTCACGCGAGACCTACATTACATAGTAGGCTTAGATTAGTATGTTGGTTTCAAGTGATATCCCATAAGATAAAGTCTCTAATTAGCAACCAACTCACGTGTCATTGACAAGCATTTGTTCAGCTCGTCTCACGACATTAAGAACAAGTGGTTTTCCTTCCTGTCATAGTTGTCATTAGAATAATGATTCTTCAAACTTTACAATAACAATTAGCTTTGGATTAAAGAACCAATCACTAAAAAAAAACAAAAAAACAGAGGTAGCAGCAAGAAAATATCTTTATTTGTATCATTGGAATGATGGAAACAAATATAATTGATTTAATCTTATTAATTAATTATACATAAGGGGAGGAAATGGAAAAAAGATTCATTGAATGAGCAAGTTGTATGTAGATTAAAGAAATAGGAAGGAAAAGAGTGAGTGAGAGACCTCAGTTCGATATGCGCCAACACCCAAATTCACTTTGACTGGGCTGCTATCTTTGTTATAAGCAACTGTTACCTGTATTATTGAATCAACATAAAATAAGATACACGCACAAACACATTCGGGAAATAAAAGAAAAACCTAGATCCATGCAATAGAATCGAAAACCACGTAGCCATCAATCAAATCAAATGATCTCCAAGATCAAATCATCAACTGATTATTACTAATTTTTAAAGTTGGTCCTAAGTCTAACAACAAAAACAAAGAGGAGTTAGGAGTGGAAAGAGGTATATACCCACCCCTAAGATGGGATCTTCAGGAGCATGAACAACATGAGCAAACACAGAATCTGCCATTGGAGTTGGAATTTCAGAGAACAAGTTCAACGATGTTATGGAGGTGAGTTCAGTACACCTTCTTTCTTTAATCTTTAATCTTTAATCTTTAATAATAAAAAAAAAAGGTATTGTTCGCTTCTTTGGGGGCTGCGTGGAATACGCCACCTGTATCTCTATCACACAGTGGGCGGTTCAAAACAAGGGACTCGGGACTGCGCCAACTACAAACTTTTCTTTCTTGCTCCATAGCATAATATAACTTCCTTTCTTTCTTTTTTAATTCTTTTCACTATGAAAAAAATACAGACTTTAATATAGTACTCCATTTAACATTATTTACTTTCAGTTTTAACTTTTACCTCACCGACATTTTTTTATGATTTATACTTCTAAAATCAATTTATTTTTAAATTTTGGTAAGAAATAAATGGTAATATTTGCTAATTAATTTTGAAAAGTATTTTTACATA